GCCACCACAGAGTCCAGACTTTAACCCCACTGAGAATCTTTGGCATGTGCTGGAGAAGACTTTACACAATGGTCTGACTCTCCCAACATCACCACAGGATGTTCCTGAAAAATGAATGCAACTCTGTACAGAAATAAATGTTGTGAAATTGCAAGCTTATGGAAATTATGCCACAAGGGCTGCAACCAACTAATCGATAATGAGAATAGTTAACTATTCTCATTATCGATTAGTTGGTTGGATCCCCTAGCTCTCTCCTCCACACTGGCAGGGCACAAGCAGTAAGCGGGTGCAATAGCCATCCTGCTATTGGATATTGCAATTTGAAACGTCCAATAGCAGGCAGGCTATTGCACCAGCACACTACCTGCTGTATTTACATTCAGCTGCCGCCTGCAGAATCTTGTCACTGGCAGCTGTCATTGCCTGGCTGACTCTATTCAAGCGCCATGTGCGCACAATAAATGATAAAAAAAATAAAAGATGGGGGGGGGGAAAAAAAAGTAATTTTCAGCTTGACAAATTCTGCTGCTGGAGGTGCATTGCAGTGCCAATCATTTCAATGGCACCCAAAATGCTCTTCCCACCAAAAGTGTGATCTCAGCACTGGAACCGCAATGCCGTGAGTTCCAGTGCGATCGCAATATTTTGTCCATGCAGTTTTATTCTTGTTTGTAAAACTGCATTTGTGTATTTTAAATTAAGGATGGTATTTAATTTTTTTTTTTATCCGATCAAATAAATAATTGGCCAACTGATCGATTATGAAAATAATCATTTGTTGCAGGTCTAGATGGCACGGCAAATCTGTGCCATAATCAAAGCTGAAGGTGGTCCAACAAAATATTAGAATGTGACTTTTTTTTTTGGCCAGGCAGTGTATAAATATTAGGGATGTACCGTACTCTGTACAAGTACAGATACTTCGAGCTCCAAGACTAGACTAGAGAAAAACTCAAAAGGTTGGAGGCAGCTGTCATTTGTAAGGAGCACACGGAGCTCCTGGGATTTGTGCATTTCTGTTTTAATGTATGATTTTGTGTGTATATATATATATATATATGTACTCACAGATAGAAGTACTGATACATTTTTGTTTATTGTCATGTGACAGTTTTTCTAAAACAATACAGACTAATGATTTCAGGACAGTGGTGGAGAGCCAGATCCCAGCTGCAACCCGGTACTTCTTAGAAAATGCCCAAGTATCAGCACTGGTATCTGAAAAGTATCGGTGCATCCCTAATAAATATGGGCAGTCATTGCTGAGCTCCTAAAACTGCTACATACCCATCATAGACCTAGAACAATCATGCAGCAAGTCAGTTCTGATAAAAACAAACTTGTTCTAGATAGCAGTAAATATCAGTATGACATCTAGGCAAATAGTAATGCAGAAGTTAGGGACTAACTTCCCTTGTATTTGCATTATATTTCCAAGGCAACTAAGCACATTATAAACAGTGTTATAATAATAAAAATCACCTTTTTTTTGTATGTACAAATGCATGGAAAAATCATCAGAAAACTCTACATTTAATGAAGCCAGTAGAGGGCAGGGCAGTATCTACCTGAATACAGCTGAGGTTCAGTCTAGGTATTTCAAGGAGGGATATGGCATTCATTCTGGTGCCTACACTAACAGCACAAAAGGCTGCACAGAAGAAATAAAGTCAGAAACATGTAAAAGATTCTCAACTTTTAGTGACATTGACTTAAGTACTTGTGACAATTATCAGCAGCCCTTGCACCTAAAGTTACACTTTTACTGTAACTTTAACCCCTTCGTGACGGGAGACGTACAGTGTACGTCCCGTCACAAAGTGGCTATATGACTGGCCACGTACACTGTACGTGCCGAGTTATATTAGCCTCTGTAATGCTGGTAACTGCTGATTCTCAGCAGTTCCAGTCATTAATTAATGCCTCACTATTGAGACATTCATTAATGAAATAGTTAAGCTTTTTTAAAAGCTTCTTTCTTTCATTAATGAAAGAATGAAGCCTTTACATTCAGATACGGGTTCGCTAAATAGCGATCCCGTATCTGACAGCTGAAGATAGCAGAGAGGTAGCAGTGACTCACCTCTCTGCTATTCGTTTTGACAGCTGGAGAGCCTGGCCCGATGTTAAATGATACATTTCAACCACTAGATACAAAATGTATCTCAAGTGAAATGTATCACTTCTGATCGTCTAGGAACGATCAAAGACCTTTAGTGAGATCTGATTCTGACATGCTGTCAGGATCAGTCTCTAAAGTTATTATTAGCTGTTCCTAAGCTTGGAGCAGCCTGATAATAACTAAAAATGTTAAAAAGTTAATTTATTAAGCAGTCATAGTGATTGCTTGATATAAACTGACAAAAAAAAATATATTTTTTTTTACACTTATTTTTTTTACAAAGTGTAAAAAAAAAAAAAAAAAAGTGTACAAAAAATTAGGAAAATAAAACGTTTATATATAAATATATTTGTATACTATAATTATTATTAAAAAAATTCTAAAAATAATAATAATAATCAAAACTTGCTGCTGTGGAAGAATCACACAGCAAAAATGTAAAAAGTGTGTCAGTCATTTAGGAACAGAAACTAAAAACTAGCTCAGTCATGAAGGGGTTAAAGTGCCTTTCCACTTTTGCAGTCAAGTTTAAGAAAACCCCTTTGTTTGTGTTCATTCGTTCACTCGCTCTCTCCATCTCTTACCTTATAGATTTTTTTTTTTAATGAAGGGCTTTGTGTAGATTCTAGGCTACTCTAAGCAGTGAAAGTAGGAGGGACAGACTGAGCGGCTTCACCTCATTAACATACAATGCTTTTACATCCTTAACCCTTTGTTAGGACAATGTTCAAATCTAGTTTACAAAAGTTAATAATAAAATTTGCCAGCACAGTCCAGACTGCGTAAACATAACTTCCCCCAGCCCCCTCTAACATTACATAGGGGAGAGGCTTGGTAGAATTTTTAAGCAAGTAATAAACACTGAAAAATGTAAGCAACAATTGTTAATTTGTTTTTTCAAGTTATTCTATGCGAATATGGGAACATGTGATAAATTTAAAGTAGGTGTTAATCCAATTTGGCTACAAAAGTGGAATTACACTTGAAATGGCACATCAGTTAGCACTACCATCCATAATCACAACATACGTTTGAAGGAATAAAATGTGATTGAGGTAAAGCTGCTCCTGGGAAGAATTTTTGCTGTGCACACCATGTTTCCTGTGTAAGTTTATTGATTGAAACTGCACGAAGCAATTCTGACACTAGAAAAAAAAAGGAGAAAACTGCAGAAGAGAATCATTGTACGCTGAGCTAGTTCATGACATACAATATCAAAGTGTTAGCAATAAAATGAACTGTGAACTTTACAAAATGGTTTCCATATTACACATGCTATTTGAAACTAACATACAAAGTAAAATAAAGAACACTTAGATTCCCGACACAGACTTGAACGGTGTTTTTTAATTTAAAATCATGACCCGGCATCTCTTTGTTGACTTTCAGCACACACACAACTTGAAATATCTTCAGAAACGCATTCCGTTTCTCTAGTGTGCAATATGGACAGATAGTACCAACAGTAAAGAAACAGGTTGAAAAGCGGCAATGTTTTCTTGCTCACAAAATCTGACTGATATCCTGAAACAGATCATTCTATGTTGTTATCTCAGCTGGGCACTTACAGCCCTCCTGCTGTGAAACTACAAGTCCCAGCATGGCAAGGCATTGTGGAATATGTAGTTCCTCAGCAGAAGGGCAGCTAACTGTCCAAGCTACTAAATGTCACGACAGTCTATTTAAATATGGATCTAACTCTGCAGAACACGAATTGAACATGACAGCTTTTAATTACAATGGCAAAGTGCAGTAACCCATAGCAACCACTGAAATCGGTCATTATTTCAACTGCTGAGGAAAACTGGTCGTAATGGCTTGCTGCACCTTACATCACTTTGCCTTGTTCCAAGGCTGTGTACACACACAAGTACATTACTACATTTACCAAGTGGCATGTTCCCAGTGCAGCAAACAAACCATACCTGTCTTTACAAGAGGACAGCACAACGTACACATAAAGGGCCAACAGTGTACGACTGTAGATGTTTGTGCAGTTACTATTATACTATACCTTTTCCTGGCCCCCAGTCCTCCTGCCTGTCTTCCAATTACCTCTCAATGATCCAGCAAGAGATTTTCAATAAAGCTGCCCAAACGCTTGTCAAAATCTTCCAAGCTGGGCCTGTGCATACCTTATGCACTCTCCCTTCACACTCTTGAATGGGCCCGTAAGCAGAGCACAGAATATGAACTTTCCAAAGAAATGAATGGAGAGTGCACAGCTAATGCACGGTCCAGGACTCACATTTTTTACAAGCAGCTGTGTGATTTCAGTGATACTTTGCTGGATCGGGGACAAGTGATTGTAAGACTGGCAGGGGGGCTGGGGACAGGAAAAGAATAAGGACCACATGGATGTATGCCTATTACGAGGTCCACATATACTGAACAGGTATGAGCCTGCTAATTAAGTTACTCTGGGTAAATGCCTCATCAGATAATTGTGTACAGCCCCTAAAGAAGTCTTCGGGATCAAATGATCATTTTCGAAAGATTAAACTTCTTAACCTATACTTTGACAACATACACCCATTACCAAGGAGTGAAAAATGAGACCATATCACTTGAAGAAATAAAAATATAATCTGGATGAAGTCATTGAGCAGCCTTGAATCTATAAATGCCTCTGCCCAAATATCTGTATTATACAATATAGATACCTATATGCAATACAATATTCAAATCCTAAAGAGTTGCCGAAGCAGCTCTAGAGCGTTCAGTAACCTTGATGATTCTTCAAAGACACAGAGTCACAACAGGGCAGCAGCTTGGTTTACCCCTTTAATAAACATTATTTTAACATCCGGCAGAATTACAGAAGAATGGGCTCATTTCCAACAGTTTGAATTTTTTTTTTTTTTTTTGCATTTTCTTTTTTAAATGTAACTTTATTTTCTTTCTTACAAACTGAAGGAGAACTTACCAAGTCCCACAAAGCACAGTGCAACATTGAAAGGAAAACTAAGAGCCGAACGTTCAACGATCCCCTCCCTTGTGATGGCTCAAGATGGACCAAGGTTATGTATCCCTTTAAATGTCAGAGAAAATGACTGACACTGAAAAGGCTACTAATGGGAGGGGGAGTGTTAGACTAATACCCAACAGATACAGGGCCTTTATCAAAATGTGTCCAAAATATACTGGTGATAAAAAAAAAATTGTATGCAATGCTACAATTAAACCCTAAAGGAGGAAAAAAAAAATCAACTTATTTTGCGTGTCATTTCTTTTGACTAGAGTGAACAAAAAGGATGAAATATTTTCAGCAGTTAATAATTGCAAGTGATATATATATATATATTTTTTTACACAGAGAGCAGAACTGCACTCCCATTTTCACACTGTTTTTTTTTAATCCTCCTCTAACAGTTTGAAGTAGAGTTTAGCGTAAATCGCGGGTTGATGCTGCGCCTCTGTTCCATGTTCCCGCGGAGTCCTGCCTCATGTGTATTTTCAGGGGAGGGTGAAGGAGGGGATTCTGAACTCGCTGACTCCAAATCTTCAGTTGCGCTTTTTGAATTTGTGTTAATCCTTGTGTGTGTGTGTGTCTTCCGTTGGCGCTAGGCCTCAATGTCTAGTCCACAGGTCGCTTCTCTCCATATTTCTTTGTAAACTCTTCGGCATTCTTACAGAATTTTTTACGGTCCTTTGAGTATTCTTCAGCTAGGTCTGCACGCAGGGGATGCTCTGGTTGAGGATCGTTGACCAGGGCAATGAGAGACTGAATGACTAGGTGAAAGAGAGAAACAGTTAAAGGAGGGATAAATCGCAGTACAGGCATTTTAAAAATCAGTCACCATTTTTCAGCCATGTGTCCCTCTCACTCCTTTACAGCCCTCAATGGTTTAGGAATTTAAAGAGATTTGGGCCCCAGCTGTTTTTCAATTGATAGTTTCCAATATAATTTTACAGCTCAATAGTTTAAAGTACATTTCTTGTCAAAATTGATATTCAGTAGCCAGCTAGGCAAATAAATACTTTTATTAACTCAATTTACCTTTTAGGAGCAGCATTCTCGTCTGATTGTCTAAGAGTAAACCTAAACTAGCTTTTCTCAACTGATTCACCATGTAGGAATCCCTAAAATAACTTTTAGGTCTCAGAGAATCTACCGCATGATCAGTAAATTGTAGATACAATACAAAGAATGTGATGTACTTAAACCACCGGACTAGATTATTTTGTGTAATAAATATATGAAATGATAATTACTAACAGCCAAAAGAGAAACACAAACCGTAATCACCCCAATACATTAGTGGAAAAAGCCTTCTTTATATTGGTGGTCAATTCTTAGACTGGTAGCCAGTGGTACAAGCTCCTCCCTACACTGGTGGTCAGCCTTCAGTGCTGAGAATGACCCCAACATTGTTGGTCAGTGGGAAGCATGTCATGTACTTTGGGGGCCAGTGGGAAAACTTACTCTTGGGGCTGCATATCTCTCAACTAACTAATCGATGAGAATAGTTGCCAACTATTCTCATTATCGATTAGTTGTTGCAGCCCTACTTACCCTTACTGTGCAGTGATGGTCAATGGAATGAATGCCCCATACATTGGCGTACAGGGGAAAGAATGTCCATTGGTGAATAATGGTTACTTACCCGTTAGCCAAGAAGAGGCTACACTTGCCCCACAGTGCTGGCTCTGCAGAGTGAAAAATGTACTGCAACTATTCAGGCACCAACTGGCACTGCTCAATGCACATAGAACCCCTAGAAATCTATGCAGGAACCCCAATTTAGAAAAGCCAATTAAAACATTAATTGTTAATTGTGTTACTGTTCTTTCTTCTGATGCTTCCTCGGCCGAAGCAGAAAAGTCCTATGCCTGGGAGAAGGCTGCAGCTAAAGACTGCTGCCCTCTACAGTGGTCCGATACACCCTGCTGCCGATTGCAGCACTATGGATGTGACAAGCCAGGGCGTGTATTAGAAACCTCTACAAAGCTTCAAGCTAGTACTCCCACCAGTCTAAGGGCTCAACATATATTCATATGAAAAACTCAAAGACTTTGCCATCTGCGCTCTATCTTGATAAACCATGAACTGTGCCTCCTTCGTGCGAACAACAGTTCATACACTTTCAATGTTTTAAGTAGTGGTGCAACCACACACATAAGAACAGCAATAGGGGGAGCGTACAAGGGGGACAACAACAGATTTATGTGCCAGGGAACGTGTACTGTGAAGATGTACACTGGTTCTCTTCATTCATGTGTCTGTACTAGCCCTGTGTGTTAAGAGTCCAGGCATTGTTTTTCATTAGGATGCACATACATTCTCTTGCAAATTGAACATATATGAAATATATTGAGAAGTTACTTAGAACGTGTGACAGTGGTAGCTGGGCAAATAAAGTCAAGCTGGCTTACCGTAGTTGTGCCAGGGATAAGTTCTGAACAGTAGCAAAGGTCCACCTGCCCCTTTGAAATTTTCCCTTTTATAGATCGGTTGTGAACTATAAACATAAGTGTCAACAAATTGTTTGCACTGGAGCCCCCAAAAGCCTGGGGCCCTTTATTTTGTAAATTACCAACTTTACCTGAAAAAAATGAAAACTTTAGCCCACCCCTTCTAATTCTTCACTGGTTTAGTGAAATTCCCCGTTACATATAGCTGTCCACATTAACATGCAGGAGCTAGTGGGACACAGTGATGACATCCTAGATGAAAATGACACTTGCACAATGCATTCCCACATTTCAGGTCTCCCAGGACGCTCTTGTTTGGAACTGCGCTATGTTATAGTTTGGTACAGAGTAAGTTTAGTGATTCATTTAACACATTTGTTGTACAAGGCTCAAAAAAATAAAAGCACTCACTATTGATTTTCAAACATTCACATAACATCTTACATATCCACAATCACCATTATTAATTAAAACATATAGAGCCCAAAGAAACAGAGGCTTAGGTCAAGGTGTAAAACATATGCAGTAATATTAATCCCCCTGGAAACGACAGGGAAAATGCAGCAAGTAACATGTAGATGTATACTGTACCTACAGTGGGTATAGAAAAGAATCACCCCCCTTTAAAATAATCACATTTTGTTGCTTTGCAGCCTGAAATGAAGACAGGCACAGTTTTTTTTCCCCCCAGCTGTATTTACTCAGTGCAAGAGAACTATGAGGCGAGTGCTTTTCACTCGCCTCATAGTTCTAGCTGACCTGTGACAATGAGACCGTCACAGGTCGGCTCAGTAGATCGGGAGGTGAGCGAACACATACCGGCGTTCGCTCACCTCTCGATCCTGTCATGGCTCTCTGCCCCCCCTCCCCGATCCGCCAGCACTGACTGGAGGTACGGACGGGGGAGGGGGCGGGTACAGCTGGCTCTGCCTCTAGATAGGCAGAGCCAGTTGTCAGTCACGCAGCTGGGCGGATCCCGGCACAATTGTCGGGATCCGCTTCAGCTGCGGCGTCTCAGTATACAGCGAGCAGCAACTAGGGTGACCGGAGGACGCTAGTTTGTGACTTCCCGGTACCCTAAGGAGAACTATGGGGAAAAGTCTTAACCCCATAGTTCTCATTTAAAACATCCAAGTGAAAGATATAACACCAAATGTCAGAAAAAAAAAATACAAAAATTCAAAACATTATCACCGAGCTGGAAAAAGGATCACACCCCTCCTAAAAATGACTTGTAAACTCAATCAGGTGTGACTAATCACCTTCTCAATGGCACATAAAGCCATTTGACTTTCAATGTTCCAGCTCAGCATGAAAAGAGCTTCCCTGGAACATTTCAGTACCTGGTAGTGCACCTGAAGCAAACAATCAACTATGGGTGGCAAGGCACTGTCAAAAGATCTCTGGGATATAGGGTACGTTCACACCAGATGCAGTGCGTTCCGGTCCGATTCTGGCCGGAATGCACTGCATCGCGGCCGGCTGACTGTGTGGCAGAAGGGGGCGTGGCGGGCACCGTCCGTACAGTTCACCATCCAAATAACACCATTCCTACAGTAAAGCATGGAGGTGGTAATATCCTGTTACGGGGGTGTTTCTCTGCAGCAGGGACTGGAGCACTTGTCAGGATAGAAGGTATAACGGATGGGGCAAAATACCGTCAAATTCCTGAGGGAAATCTGCTGCCCTCTGCCAGAAAGCTGTCAATGGGAAGACTGTTCACCTTCCAAACATGACAATGACCCAAAGCACACAGCAAAAATGACCACGCAGTGGTTGAAGGAGAAAAAGGTGAATGTTCTTGTGTGGCCTAGTCAGAGCCCAGACTGAAACCCCATTGAAAATCTATGGAACGACTTGAAGACTGCAGTCCACAAACGATCACCATCAGGATTTGCCCAAGAAGAGCAGGCAAATCCTGCAAAGTCTACATGTGCAAAGTTAGTAGAGACATATCCCAACAGACTAAAGGCTGTAAGTAAAGCAAAAGGTGGTTCAACAAAATACTGATACAAGGGGGTGATTCTGTTTTTATTTTTTTTCTGACATGTTGGTGTTCCAAGTGTTGCTGTTGGTGTTGGATGTTATAAGTTGCACTGAATAAATACAGCTGGATAAAACAAAAACTGTGTCTGTCTTCATTTCAGGCTGCAAAGCAACAAAATGTGATTATTTTAAAGAGGGATAATTCTTTTCTATACCCACTGTACATGTAAAATTCTATAAAAGCCTTGTTTTTTTGTTCAGTAGCAGCAACAAACACTTTTTTTCACTGATGCCAGACCAAGCATTCAAGTATTTATTCTTTTGCAAAAAGTCTATTCCATCTTACCTTGGTCAGTTTTGGTTGCAGGTTTCCAGTTTTCAGCGCTGATCACCGGCAGACATACCTGGCCCTTCTCATCAATATTCGGGTGGTAGATTTTGGTTTTGAATGTGATTTTGGGTGGTTTAAATGGGTACTCTGCTGGGAAGTTAATTTCAATCCGAAACGCACCTTTGTCATATGGAGGATTGTCCTGGAGAAATGACAAGGAAGAACCATTTACTAAAAGAGACCTTTATACAAAAAAGCAACCTCCCTAATGAGTAGCATGCATGTCACCTGAAAATCTATAGTCATAAAACTAAGTGAGGATTGGACAAGTTGCACCTGCAAGTTTCTACCAGGATATGTCCTACTTGCTTACCACACTTATGCATGAACATGTAAAATAAGATCATATTGCATACCAGCCAATGCTTTTTTGACATACTGTAGGTGTGATGGAAACCTAAGAAACAGCAAGCATTCACTGTGCTGTTAGTACTCAGGAGAGTGCACCTCTGGTATACAGAATATTGCATATTGAAGCACCGGGGGACAGAGGAGATTGTCAGTCAAGGAGAAGCTCTAAATGGAAAGCCCCAGATAAGATTCCAGAAGTCTTTGAACAACTGTGATTTATTGTTAGGGAGCTCTATATTAGCTGGTGATGCTATGAAAGTGAGAAGGGAGGGTAGGCCTTTGGGTCAATTCACACCAGCAGCTGCACTACAACACACAGCTGCTGGTGTGCGTCACCAGGCACAGTGTTGATGCACCGGTCCCGCCACATCGCACTGTTTACCCCTTTTTGCTTAGTTCTTTATTGAAATGTCACAAGTAACAGTCATTCATTTCTATAGGCACAGCGCAGTGCAATACAGTACCCTTTTTCAGCAAACACCGCAATGCAGTGGCATAAACGGAGTCCACTCAATACAAGAAAATATGCCTTGTCTAGCTATGGGGCTGCCCTGAAAAAAGCATGCAGCACAGTCCCAACACAACTGGTGTGAATACGTCTAGAGACGCCCGCTCAGATCGAGAGAGCTCCTGGCCGGCCGTTTTTTTACTACGGCCGGCCCGGAGGCAGTTAATATGCATTGGGTTCATAGGTGCAGGCTGCAGCAAGTGTGAATGGGACCTTAAAGCTTTAACTGTTTTTCACATACATAAAAAATGCACATTTTAGGCCTAAAGATTACTTAAAGCTCCAGTAAAATGATATATTTCCGGAAAGCAGTGTGTAGAATTAGATGGTGGCAGTTGCAATTTCTTATATCACTGGATAT